TCTAAGAACAGTTTTGCATTAAATAAATTGTACTGTTGTTGTTGCTGTTGTTAAGTGCTACTGAGTTGGTTCTGACTCAGCGACTCTGTATAGGGTTTCTGAAGCCTTAAATTTTTTGCAAGAGCAGAAAGTCTCATCTTTTTCCCCACAGAGCAGCCAGTGGGCTTGAACCACCAACCCTGTGGTTTGCAGTCCAAGACTTATCCTATGAAGCCACTGTGCTCCCCAAAGACTGCATTATTTCATTTATTTCATGACAACCCATAAAGCAAGCAACAGTGGTATTCTAGAAACAAGTTCAGAAAGATATTCTGCCTTATCCATATGTCCACATACACAAGGCCTGGGAATGAAAAAATTGGCTGTTCTAGTCCTGCATACTACTCTACTACTACACTGGGAGAATATATTCTGTGCTGGTGTGGCACTGTAGGATAAGCACTGGACTGCTAACCAAAAGGTTGATGGTTGAAATCCACCAGCTGCTTCTTGGAAACCCTATACAGGATCGCTATGAGTCAGAATGGATTTGACAGCTCTCAACAACAAAAATACCACCTAGCCTTAGTCCTTATTCATAGAGTTGTTAGATATACATTGATAAAGTGAAAGGAGGAACTTGTATATTCTACCTCATCATTAAAAAGAAATAAGTTTTTGGAATGAGAAAGTGAAAATGTATAGGTAAGGGTCTAAATCCACAATTTATAAACAACGGTAGTTGAGAATGAGTGTGGTATAAACTTTTCTGCTGGTAAACCTCATTTTAATAAGCTTTGCTTTACTGTGCCTCGCAGATATGGAAGGCTGTGGCAACACTGCGCTGAGCAAGTCTATTTTTCCACTAGCATGTGCTCATTTTATATCTCATGTCACATTTGGGTAATTCTCATAATGCTATTAAATCAAATGCCAACTTATCAATTTCTATTGTTGTTGTCATTAATTGTTCAGGACAACCCCACACGTGCAGAGTAGAACTGTTGGGTAGAATTTTCAAGGCTGTGACCTCTTAGAGGCAGATCACCAGGCCTGTCTTCCAAGGCACCTCTGGGTGAGTTCAAACCACAAAGCTTTTGGTTAGTTACCAGCATGTTACTGCCTGTGCCACCTAGGCACTCATTGTCAGTTTCTACTTAGTCAATAATATTAATGCTGTAACTATAGTCTGTACCAAAAATATATACAAACAAACAATTATATAAATATGAAGAATAAATAACCTAAATATAGGCATACCTCAGAGATATTACAGGTTTAGTGCCAACCACTGCAATTAAATTGATATCACAATACAGTGAGTCAACATGACTTTTTTTTTTTTTGGCTTCCTACTTAATATAAAAGCTGTGTTTATACTACATTACATATAGTCTGGAGTCTTGGTGTGGCGCTGTGGGTTAATGCGCCAGACTACAAAGCTCTTTGAACTGCAAGGCCTATGGTTCAAGCTCACCAGCTGCTCCTCGGAAACCCTACACAGGATTGCTATGGGTTGGAATCGACTCGACTGCACTTAACAACAAGAACATATATAGTCTATTAGATATATTAAATTAAGTACAATTCTCACAATATTTCAGACCTGTCTGAAATTTTTAGTTAGAGAAGTTCCTTGGAAGCATTAGAAGTCAAGGACAAGCTCTAGAAAAGCTAAGATGCTCTCAGGTGAGGGTGAATGGACTCTCCTCAATCCTAGCAAAAAAACAAATATTAAATAATTATTACTGCTAGGTTTACATGGGCTAAATAGGACAGAGGTAAATAATGATGTAAGCACAACCGTGGAACAAGAAGACTCAGGGATACAAAGATTGAGGCATGGCTTGAATGGGTAAAAGTGGGGAAATGATGTTAAGATGCTTGGCTATCTTTTGAATCTTGGTTTCCCTTGACTGCTATTGTAAAATAGATACTAGAAGGGGAGAGAGAGGAATAGCCAGAAACATCACCAGAAAAAGCTTGTAAGTCCGTCTTCTGCCTATAACTTAGTGTTGTTGTTGTTATGTGCCGTGGAGTCGGTTCTGACTCCTAGAGACCCTGTACAGGATTTCTGATTGGAATACCTAAAATGGGGTTACAATGTGCCCAGTGAAGGAGGCTCCCTGCAGAGCCTTTGCATTGCACAAGACCATAGATGGAATCCTGATCCCCATCCAGAATCTTCTGAGTGGGACATTTCCACTTGAAATGACAAGCCGACCAGTCTGGAGCAGCTAGAAGAACAGAAGATACTTCTTGAAAGAAAGACCAGCAGGAAAAGTGAAAAACAGTAACAGCAGTCCAATTGACTACTACAAGAACAAGTAAGTTGTTCCCCAGGGAGCCATCAAGGCAAGTGGTCAGGTCCCCTCAAGACAAACCCCTACCAAGACTGAAATTCAAATGGAAAACACTAGCAAGCATATGGTCCTGCTGCTGACGACGAAGGTCAACGATAAGTGGGGGGAGAAACAGCAGTGAAGTTATGAACTAAGTCCGACCACATTCAATAGACTCCTGTTAACCTGGATTGAAGAGACCTGGGGACTCCTGGGCCCAGGGATAGAGACATGGCCCCAGAGGACTAGAATGGAGTGTGAAGCATCCAGCTGATATGAAGTGAGGGGAGATGCACAGAAACACCACACTTGCAGATAGTACCCATCAATAGCTGGATGATCAGAACATGACTAGAGGAAACAAGAAGAGGGAAAAAAAAAAAAAAGTAACCCACTACAAGTGGATGAACTTGACGTATGCTTGTGGATGCAGTATGACAAAGGAGCGAACAAATCTTTACAGTGAGGATCATTTCCATGCCCTTGGTACACACGGTCGACAGGGATGGGGAACTTACGACATTGGCTACCCAAAATGGGTGGACTACAAAGGCAAGAAGTGACTGGCTTACAAGCTTTCAATAGGGAACCTAGCTCCAGAGGATACAAGGAAAGGAAACATCTCCACTGAATTGTTTTCAACCTCTCTGGATGGGGTTGATAAAAGGTGAGGGGGATAGGACTCCTGTGCTTTAATAGGGAATGATTGCTATCAGGCCTGATAGTGAGTGTTGGAAAGGTAAATGTAAAAGTTTGGTAACTAAAGGAGGGGAGTGGCTGATTTTGCAGTCCAGGAGCAGAGATCCCTGGAACCACCAAGGGAGAAAAATGAAGTGTGAGACCCTGTCCAGGAAGGCAGTGACACTAGGATGGAGGCAGAGATGATGACGTGGACAAAAGGAGCAGCTAGGGACTCTGGACTCAGGGTTGGAGAGGAGCTGTGTGCTGGTGGCTGTGGGGTGTACCTTTTGGTTGTTTGATGATGCATGCAGGGGATTGTGATCATTGCAATGAGACAAAATATGATAGGACGAATGTAAAGATAATGTTCACCCATGTAAACTAACACATAATTCATAATAAAAACTTAAAAAACAAATGCTAAAACTATCTTCTTGGATCACAACCCTATAAAATTAGAAATCACCAATTAGAAGATCAAATGAAAAAAAGTCAAATACATGGAAATTGAATAACACCCTGCTTTAAAAACTCCTGGGTAACAGAAGTAAAAAGTGAAATAAAAATAAGATCCTTTGGATTAAATAAGAATGAAAACAGAACATACCAAAACCTTTGTTGCACAGCAAAAAGCAGTGCTCACTATTCACAATAGCAAATAGGTGGAGACAGTCTAAATGCCCATCAGTGAAAGAGTGAACAAACTTTGGTACATAAACACCACTGAATACTGTGCAACACTGAAGAATAATGATGAAAGTGTAAAACACCCCATAACATGGATGAACTTGGAGGACATTATGCTGAGTGAAATAAATCAATAACAAAAGGACAATTATTTGTATGAGACCACTATTGAAAAAACTCAAGTTTTCAAAGTAAAAGAAGCATTCTTCAGTGGTTACCCCAAGGGTGAGATCGAAGGGAGAGTAATTCAGGGGCTAGAGGGTAGACACATACTAACTTGGGTGACGGGAGGGCAGTTTACAAGAAGAGGGAGGTTGGCAGAAGAATGATGAAGAAGGTGAAGACACGGGGAGGAATACAAGGGCTAATGGAGACAGAGGTAAATAGTGATAGATACACAACTATGGAACAATATGGACAGAGATATAGGCGGAATGGGTATAAATATATAAATATCCCACAAATATATAAGAGTTGGAAAGAGGATATTTGTACATCCTCTTTCAAATTGTTACTGTGTGGAGAGTACTGCAATCACTGAAATGAAACAAAACGTATGATTTGTTGAACATAAATCTGATGATCATATCTGTAAACCTTTACTCAATTCACAATAATAAAAATAAGCAGTGCTCAGAAAAAAAAAATTACTACTGCTAAATATTAGTGGATTCCTGGTGTGGTGCTGTGGATCAGCATTGAACTGCAAACCTTAAAGTTAGTAGTGCAAACCCACCCGCTGCTCCTTGCCACCTTATATATGGTCTCTTTGAGCTGGAAACAGACTCAACGACACTTAACAACAACAACAAATATTAGTAATAAAAGCTGGAAAATATGGATGGTGGCCCTTGAGGGGCGGCTACCAAGGTTGTTAGATATGAAGACATTTTAAAAATTGTGTTGTTGTTGTTGTTAAGTGCCAACAACTTGGTTCCAACCCATAGAGACCCCGAATAGGGTTTCCTAGGAGTGGCTGGTGAGCTTGAACAGCCAATCTTGTGATGCAAACTGACTTTGCAGTCCAGTGCATTAATCCACAACACCACAACAGGACTCCAGAGTTAAACTAAAAGGGAAGACCTGTCAGTTTCTGAAATTTAGCAAGAGCATCCCAATACAATAGGAAACAGAGCTGCCATTCTGGTGAGTTTGCTCTCTAGAAGCAGTCAGGAAACTTCTCCCACATACTTTGAGGGCAAATCCAAACCAAACTCACTGTCATCCACATGTGCCATGTGTTCCATCGGCTCTCTGCTGGAGAAGGAAAGGAAGGGTGTGTAAGAGGTGGGGCTTCTCAAGATAACATACCGCCGCTTGGGTGGGTTGCTGCTTCTTATTCCGTTTGGGCCTTAGCTTGGTAAAGTGCTCCAGCTTCTTCCCTTCTTCTGAGGGCAGCTCTAAGATGAACCCTGAGCTCCGCTTCTCTTGTCTGATGGACGGGAAGGGTGGGTCTTCAATGTGGATTGGCACTTCTTCCAGAGCTTTATCCAGATCAAACTCCATTTCTAAAATAAAACAAAGCCCCAGACCAAAACTTACTGCATACAAATGGATAGAAAATCAAATTCCCCCAAAGTAAATTTAAGTCTTTCATGGCATAGAAAAGTCCCACTGACTAATCACTGAACTTTCTCAACATTTACTCATCAATAATATTTGGTGTCTAGGAGCCCTGGGTGGCACCATAGTCAAGTTCTTGGCTGCTAACTGAAAGGTTGGTGGTTTGAACCCACCAGCCATTCTGTGAGAGAAAGATGTGGTGTAGCCAGCTTCCATAAAGATTGTTATTTAGTGCCACTGAGTTGGTTGCAACTCACAGCAACTCAGTATATAGGGTTTTCTAGTAGCGGTTGGTGGGTTTGAACCACCGAGCTTGTGGTTAACAGTCCAATGCTTTTTCTCCAGTGCCATACCTTGGAAGCTATGGGACAGTTTTTCTATGTCCTTAGGGTCATGATGAGGTGGAAGTGACTTGATGGCATGCAACAATAACATGTGTTTTCAGTTGCTGCCGAGATGATTGGAATTCATGATGACCCCATATGTGCAGAGTAGAAATGCCCCAGAGAGTTTTCCCACATATGGCTGAAGTGGTCCGAGGTTCATGCTGAAGGGTGTTTCACAATTAGAAAGAAGTGATTGGCATTAACAATAAATTCACTTACCAAACGCTCTGGAAACAGGCCGCAGCATTCGACTGTGGATACTTTTCCTTTTGGATTTAGGTGTCATCTAGCAATAAAATAAAGAAAGCATTTAGAGAAGTAATAAAAGAAAACCTGCCTTTCACACTTCAGAGCATTCCAACCGATGGATTAAATTTAGTGTTCATTTGGTTTTAAAGGACAGCTTGGGAGCATCTGATAGTCTGAGAAGACTAGAACAAAACATTTCGAAATGTTTACCATTTTCTCAAATGATACAGCTCTCTTCTTGCTTTTGCTCCAGCCCTAGTCAGCTAAATTCGATGAACAGAGCTGTAAGGAACAATGAGTGAACAGAACGTAACTGTAAGCTGTATACGAGGATGCTAAATTGGAAATAAAGAATAAGATTGAAAGATTGTTAAAAAAAATCAGCACTAAATATCAAAAACATGGTTATTCACTTTCCATTAGGGGCATCATGGAACTTTTAGCGCATCACTGAAATAATTTACACAGTTAGTACTTTTGTTTCACATTTCTTCCACCAAGATTTTTGATCTTTACATTATGGGCAAAGACTACTAGGGACAAGTTGCCATGATTCAAAATTCTCCATCTGCTCTTACTTCTTAAGAAAATGTCTTTGGACTCTGTCCTTCAAAAACGAGACCAAAATCCCAACCAAAGCCAGAATTTCCAAAGGATCTCCTCCTAGCATGGAGATCAACTACTGATTATATAGAAGGAGTGTTTAAAAACAAAACAAAACAAAACAAAAAAGCATTGTCCTCTCCCTCAAGAGAATCACACAAATGTCAAAGGTAGAGAGAACTCTTGTCATCTTTTCCACAAACTCAAAAGAAGGAATGGGGTCATAAAGAGGATAAAGGGGAACATTCAAGCAATCAATAGGAACATGCCAGGGACAATTACAAAGGTTAACCCAGTATTCTGCCTACCATACCATTCATTATTAATACACAGAGTTAAGGGATGTTTCAACTTGTTTAATAGATACTGGGAACTGGTATTTGTGTAAGCTAAGTCAGCATAACTAAAAGAACTTAGCTTACAGAGTTTCTTTTCATTTAACAGGGTTCTCAAAAAATCCACATGGTTGAAAAACTTGCTTTGGTTCAAAAAAGGAATTGGTTCACACTGACCTTTAGAGCAAATAGCATTATAGTTTTGACAATTATGCCAGCTTTGATAGCAATATCCTGTTGATATTACTTATTGTTGGGAAAAAAGGGAAAGAAAATAGTAAACAATTGCATTCAAATCCAGACTGATCCTCCTGAAATATACAATGAAAATGGCTGATTTGGTTATTTCAAGCTTTTGCATTAAGGTCTGACCACCTGAGGAATATCTATTTATAAAGGAACAAGCTTTGCAGATTCGATAATAACGCAGTTCAATGCAATTGGCAAGAAATCCAGTTTTAAATGGAGTTTTGACCTTGCAGTTGGCTGGAGAAGTTAGCGGCTTGACTGGTCTATTTATAAATAAAACATCTGAAAATAATTAATTCTCAGGAGACATAAACTACCAAAATATAAGCTGTGTTTAGTCTTGAAAAGCTTTTCAGTATTCTATTTACCGTATGCATAACCATGGTAGTAGATAAAAGGATCAAGTAATAGCTTGAGCAGTAAACTCCAACAAATTTCATTTAAACAGCTGTAAATATGTATCAATGATGTCTAAAAAAAACCAATGGAATGAAGATATCCTACAATTTCTTTTTTTTTTTTTTCCTTTGTGACTCCTGATTAGGTTTTATGGAAAGGATTTAACTGGCAAAAGTAATCTGTGAGTCCCATAAAAATTATGACATTTCAAATATATTACATATTTTAATATATGAAAAAAATCCATTATCTCATAAACGAGGGTAAGTCAATAAGTATTGCTACAAAGTCATAGACACTTTATTAAACAAGAATAACAAAATGTGAAGCAACTGTTTCTCGACATTGCCTCCATCTAAGTCTACATGCTTCTGAAGGTGCTGTGTTCATCTCTCTAACGTCTTCCCAAAGAATTCTACTCTCTTCCATTTACACCATGTCAAACTGGCACTTTGGGCATCTTTGAGGGTCTCAAAGATGATTTATATATATATAAAATAATGTTTTATTGTGAATTATGTGATAGTTTACATGGGAGAACATTAGTTTTATATTCATCCTATCATATATTGTTTCATTACCATGGTTACAATCCCATCCATGTATCATCAACCAACCCTGCAAGCCTGTCCCCAAGTCATCAGCACATAGCCCCTCTCCCTTTCTGGGTTTAGAGTTCCCAGCTGCTCCACTCTCCATGTCATCGTCTCTGCCTCCATCTCTGGCATCACTGTTTCTCTGAGTACAGTCCTGCACTCCGCTCTTCTCCCTTGATGGTCCCAGGGACCTCCAATCCTGGACAGCAAAGTCAATCACTCCCCTCCTTTTGCTACAAAATGTCTACGTTTACATTTCCAACCCTCACAGCCAGTCCTGATAACAATTATTCACTATTGTACCACAAGAGACCTATCCCCATCTCTTTTCATCTGCCCTGCCCAGACAGATTGGATACTACTCAGTGGAGATTCTACCTTCCTCCACGCCCTCTGGATCTAGGCTCCCTCTTGAAAGCTTGTAAGCCAGTCACTTCTTGCCTTTGTAGCCCCTCCATTTTGGGTAGCAAATGTTCAAGTTGCCCATCCCTGTTTACTCTGTATATGGAGGGAGTGGGAATGATCCTCGCTGTAAAGATTTGTTCCCTCTTTTCAGCTATTGTGCCCATAGGAGTAGGTTAAGTTCATCAAATTGTATCAGATTACTCTTTTTCCTCTTCTTTCTTCTACTTGCACTCTTATCATCCAGTCATTGAAGCCAGGTCATGTGGGTATTATCTGCAAGTGTGGGATGTTCTTATGCATATGCCCTCTCTTCTTATCAGCTGGATGCTTCACTCTCCACTCTAGTCCTTTCTGTGGCTATGTCACTGACTCTGGGCCCAAGAGTACCCAGGTCTTGCCACTCTGCTGGCCAACCAGGTCTTCACCCGGGTTCACAGGAGTCTATTGAACGTTGTAGGGCTTAGTTTGCAGCTTCATTGCTGTTTTTCCCTCCCTTCCCCTTATCAGTAACCAATGTGATCACCAATCAGAGCACATGTCTGTTTGTGTTATTCCCACTGAGTCTTAACCTTGGAAGGGGTTTGCCCTGAGGGAACCTGACCACTTGCCTTGATGGCTCCTGGGTGAGCAACTTGCTTGGTCTTGTAGTTGTCAGTTTTTGTATTTTTCCTGTAGGTCTTTCTTTCAAGAAGTATCTTCTGTGATATACGATGGAAATGAATGTAAAACTGAAGTTCTCCCATGTAAACGATCATATAATTCACAATAAAACATTTAAAAAAGAAGTATCTTCTGTTCCTCTAGCCACTCCAGGCTGGTCTGCTTGTCCTTTCTAGTGGAAATTACCCACCTTAGAAATTCTGGATGGGGTTCAGGATTCCACCTATGGTCTTATGTAACTCAGAGGCTCCACAGGAAGCCTCCTTCACTGGGCACGTTGTAGCCCTATTTTAGGTATTCCAATCAATTATAGGCAGAAGATGGACTTATAAGCTTTCTATGGTGATATTTCTGGCTATTCCTTTCTCTCCCCCCTCAAGTGTCTATTTTATAATGGTATGCCAGGGAAACCAAGATTCATAAGACAGCCAAGCATCTCAACATTATTTCCCCCCTTTTCCCCATACCTACCATGTCTCAATCCCTGTATCCCAGAGCCCTGTTGTTCCAAAGTTGTGCATACATTATTATTTATCTCTGTCCCACTAAGCCCATGCAAACCTGCCTAAATGTTTTCCCATCTGCCTTGTTCTTCCATTCCCCTCCCCCTTCTTGTATAATGTCTCCTCCCTAGCACCCAAACTATCCTGTGTCTATTCCCTACCCTGTGCTCCACCTTCCCCTCTCTCCCCTCACCCCACCCCCCACATCCCGCTAACCAGCAAAGAATCTCCCCCACCTTTAGTATGGGTTCTTTTTCTTAGTCTTTTACAGTAGTGGTCCTATGCAGTATTTCTCCTTTTGTGACTAATTTCACTCAACATAATGTCCTCAAGGTTCATCCATGTTATGTGGTGGCTTGCAGCTTCCTTGTTATTCTTCAGTGTAGCGTAATATTCCATTGTGTGTTATGTACTACAGTTTGTTTATCCATTCTTCCTTTGATAGGCACTTAGGCTGTCTCCACCTTTTTGCTATTGTAAATAGTGTTTCTATGAGCATTGGTGTGCATATATATCTACTTGTGTTGTGGCTTGTATTTCTTGTGGGTAAATACCAAGTAGAGGAATTGCTGGATTATAAGGTATTTCTATTTCCAGCCTTCTGAAAAGTGCCATATTGCTTTCCAGAGAAGTTGGACATTTTGCAATCTCAAATCATATATATGTATGTATATATACATAAAAGCTTTTATTGTGAATTGAGTGCTGGTTTACATAGGAGGACATTGGTTTTATACTCATCCTTTTGTTTCATTGCAATGATTACAATCACCTCCATACAGCATCATTTAACAGTATTTGCTTCTATTCCCTCTATTCATATTCCTTTTAAATGTTCCCAAATAAGTATGAAGGGGTAAGATCAGGGCTGTAGTGAGGATGGGTAAGAATTCCCAATGAAATTCTCATAGCACAGCTCTTGCTACCCTTTAAGAATGAGCATGTACATTGCTGTGATAGGAAGCAATCCCATGGTGCAACTTTCCTAACCTTTTTCTCACCAGTGCAATTCTCCATTTTCTTAAATTTCTTCATAATAAGTTCTTGTGCTTTCCTTGAATACTTCAAGTATATCCATCAAGATCACCCTTTTGGAATCTCCTTAAATAGTCAATATAACATTCAGAGGTAATTGCACTGCCTTGAATTCAACTTTGAGATCTTCCCAATCCATCTAATAACTGTTGCTCTATGTGAAGCAGCATTCCCATAAACTTGCTGCAAAACTTCAATGACTTAGGAAGATGTGCACTTGAATCTTGTTAAAAATTTTATATTAGCTCTGAC